AAAGGGGGGGGGAGGCTTGTGCCAGGCCGGGGGCCCTGTGCCCCGGTCCCCTGGACGGGCCGCGGGGTGGCAGCTGCAGTGCCTGTGCGCTGCATCTCCGGAGGCCCTCCTGCCCCGTGCCCAAGGAGTGTCCCCCACGCATCTCGGCTGGCCGGGCTTTGGTGGGATCCTTGGCTGGCTCCTGCTCGCAGCCGGGCCAGCCGCAGCCTCTGGGCGTGGGTCCGGCCCTGCTTGGTGGCACGTTCCTCCGACGGGCCGGGCATCGGCCCTGTGTGGGGTCCTCGCTGCCTCTGGTGCAGGGGAGCGGGAGTGACAGCCTTGGAAGGAGACCCTGCCTTGCCTCGAGACGTGGCGCGATCTTTCTGGGGGGTCCCGGAGTCGGTGGATCTGGTGGCGGCCACAGCATGTGGGCACTGCGGGGCTAAAAAGCAGCAGCTAGGGCAACTCCCCGGGGGAGGGGGTTGCACGCTCTCAGCAGAAGGAGCCATGTGAGCCCCAGAGGCCTGGGCCGACCCAAGGGGGCCACGCGGGAGCAAGAGCCGTCGCAGCCACTTGGCCTTCCAGGGTGGCCGAGGAGGAAGAGGAGGGCACCGCTCAGCTTCGCCCTCCTTGCCCTGCTGTTGACGTTCCATTTGTAAGCTCTCCGGGGCCGGGATCTCAGCGTGTCATTGGCCTCCCCAGCGGGGAGGGGCCACGGCCTGGCCAGGGAGCTGGAGATCCTGGGAGGGGAACCCTGCCTTCCTGGAGGGGCCCCAGCCCGGGATGAGCCATTGGGTGGCGACCACCGGGTACTGCAGGGAACTTGCCAAGGGCCTCTGCCTTGGAAGGCGGCTCGGCAGTCCCTGCACGTGCCCCCTCCCCATTCAGGAGGGAGGCCGAGGCCCTGCGTGGGGAAGGCCAAGGCTGGCTTCTGCCCTCACCCCTTGTTTTGCTGCGTGCCCCGCAGTTGCCCCCAGCACCGCCCAGGAGGGGCTCCGCACTGGGGGCTGCGTGCCCAGATCTGGCCGGTGCTTGGCAGTGCGGTCTCCAAGGCTTGGCAGGCCGGGAGTTTGCTGCTTGAGGGAGGCAGAGGGCTGGGAAGAGGCAGGGTCTGGCTGGGCCCACTGGGGCGTGCCAGTCGGGCCCAGCTGGCCGGGATGCTGCTGTGCCCGGGCTCTGGGAGGGCTTGGCGAGGGACTGTCCCTGCAGCAGCGGTGCGGCACACGGGCAGGGCAGGGCAGGGGTCGGCCCCCTGCCCTGCCTGCCGACGGCCACTCCCCGTGGCTCTTCTCCTGTCGCTCTCTGGACTTCCAGGCCGCTTCTCAGGGCGCAGGCAAATGCCCCCAGGGAGCTCTGCCTCGGCACTTGGATGGCCGGGCCAGGCCGGGCCTCCTGGGGGAAGGAATCAGGTGTGTGAGGAAGAGGAGGCTGCCTGGGGCCCGCGGAGTGGGCGTGCAGCGAGCGTGGCGGGGGCAGCAGGAGGCCTTCCCGGAGCCGGGGGGAAGCTGCCCTTACGGTGGCAGCGTTTGCCCTGGGCAGGGTTCCAGCGCACGGGCCAGCCGCCTCTCGGAGGACTTCGGCACCAGCCGCCAGCCCTGCTGCCTCCTTTTGGCTTGGTGTGCCGGAGCACTTGTGGCATTCCTGGCAGCAGCCCAGCTGTGGGTGACTCAGCGGGGAGGGGAGGGCAGGGGAGGGGAGGGGAGGGGAGGGGAGGGGAGGGGAGCCGCTGACCTGATCTGGGCAGCCCTCGCAGTGGAGAGCAGGCCCCGTGCCTGGAGGGGCGGCTCTGCTGAGGGGGAGGTCCAGGAGGAGGGTCCGTCTGCAGGAGCCCTGCCTGGAGGGGCCCCTGGGGACTAGAGGAGGGGGCTCCCAGCCCGCCGGGTCCAAGCCAGCGAAGGGGCTCTGGAGCGTGGGATTAAGGGGGTGGCGCTGCAGTGGCATCCGAAGCGCCGGGGGAGCACAGGCCCGTGCCCAGCTGCTGCTGCAGCAGGATGCTGAGCTTGATGGACGGGGGCTCTCAGGGGTAGCAGCTCCCGTGGGTGTGGGGGGCGATGGCTTTCACAGCTCTCCTGTCCTGCGCCGGGGCCCGCTGCAGGTGACGTGGATCTCCCCTTCAGCGGTGGTCCCGGGGCCCAGGCGCCCACGGGAAAAACGCGGCATTCATGCGCAGCAGGACGGCAGGGGAGGAAGGAGGGCCGGGCGCTCTTTCCACCCCCAGATGTGTGGCGAGCCCTCGGGCCACCCTTGGTGACGAGGCTGGGCCGGCTCCCCACCGCGGCCCCTCGCCTCCCGCCATAGATGCGCTCCCGCTTCCTGCAGCCGTGGGCAGGGTTAGGGTTAGGGTCCCTCCCGGCCGTTTCCTGGCTGTTCCTTCCCTGCCTTGGGCCCCCCTCCACGTTCCCCTGCTGTTTATTCCCCGGGGTGAGGCAAACGAAGGCCCTTCTCATTTGAAGAAGGGCCTGCCTCTCACTTCCCCTATTTGGGGCACTGGCACCAAAAGCGTTCCCAGAACTGACGCGCGTGCCGGAGCCCCTCCGAGCAGCTTCTGCTGTCGTGCGGCTCCCGCTTTGCACGCCTTGCCCTCAGCAGCGGCTCCGGCGCCCGTCGGCCGCGCTGACACCTGCCCTCTCCCCGAGCCTGCCAGAGGAGCTGCCCGGTGCTGCCTGGCCCCCTCGGCCTGGCTCTGCACAGCCTCTGGCCAGCACCCAGGAAGTCCTGGGGCCGTGGCCGCCTCCTCGGGGCGGGTCCTGGATGTGGGTGGCACGGAAAGGGAACGGGTGGGTGGAGGAAAGGTGGAGGCGCCCCCGGCAAGCACCTGAGGCTGTCGGGGGCAGAGCCCCGATCCAGCTGGGGTCGTGCGGGGCGACACTCCTATTCAGATCCAGGCTGCTCCGGTGCTTGTCCTTTTCCCCTTCCGGGGCTTGGCTGGCCTTGAGGGGATCGTGCCCGGCCCAGGGGCTCGGAAAGGAGCTGCAGGCTTGGGGGTCCTCTTTGGGGAGCGCCTCCGCAGCTTCCCTTCCTTGAGTGCAGCGGACGGATGCGCTGGCGAGAGCAGGATGCCCCGGGGCAGGCGCCTGGGTTGCTGCTGCGGCACGGGGCGCTTGCCCCAGTCGGTGCTCCGGCCTCCCTGCCAGCTTGCTTTGCTCGTGTCCCGGCTGGGCTGCTGCTCCGCAGGCAGTGTATCTCCCTGGGGCCGAGGGAGGCCGGAGGGCTTGGCGCTGCCGCGTGTGGCTGCCTCCGCTCTGGGATGCCAGGGGCTTTCCCGCCGGGCCAGAGAGGACCCGGGCAGAGCCCCCCACGAGCGCTTTGAAGGCGCTGAGGCGGAGCTGCCGCCTGGCAGCATCGGCAGCCCAGGCCCCAGGCTGGGGGCAGTGGGTCGATGTGCCCCTCCAGAGACCAGAGACCAGTTCCCGGCCCCAGCCCGGGCCTGTGCGCTCGCGTGGCTCCCTCCCCTGCCTGCACATGCCCTTCTCTGAGCTGCAGGGGCCTTTTGGATTCTGGGGCCACGCCAGGGGGTGGTCCGAGGGCCCGCTCTGGTCTGGAACCCCTCCCTGGCTCGGCCCCTGGCCGCCTCACTGCATGGGGGGGGGTCTGCTGCCCACTGCCTGCTGGGCTCCTGTTACAGGGCTCGCCTCGGCTCCGTCTGGGTGGATAAATATAGCAGGAGGTGCTCCACGGAGCCTCGCGGCCGGCTGCCGTTCTCCGGCTCGACTAACCGGGCTGGACGTGCGAGGATCCCGCCTGGCCGCCTCTCTCCCTCCTCCCCGTCCCTTTGTGCAGAGGGGCCTCTGCAGCCGGGGGGGGGGGGCATTCCCAGCTCCCTCGCCTGCTGTCCCCGGAGCTGGCCCAGTTCTTCCGGGGTCAGCCGGGGACAGCTCAGCTGTGCCCTGCCACCGGGGTGGGGGGGCGTGCAGACTACGAAACCCAGCACGAGCTGCTCTGGTGCTCTCCAAGGATGCTGGGAGATGCCGCCCCCCCAGGGGTTCCGAGTCGCCCTGGGCACGTGCCTGCGGTTTGCTGCTGCTCCAGCTTGGCACGCCGGGCCGGGACCACGGTGTCTCAGCCGGCCTGTGGCAGAGCGGGTGGCCCAGCCCGCCCCATTCCCTCTGCATCTGCTGGGGGCCCCGGGAAGGAACAGCCTCTTTGTCCTCCACTTCCTGCCCCGTAACTGACATGGACAGATTAGGATGGAAGGGCAGGTGCGGGGGAGCGAGGAAAACGCGGGCCGCCGGTGACCGATTTTCTCTCCCTGCAGAATAATCACTGAGCCGCTTCACGGGGGCGTGTGACATGCGGCCGAATCGCCCGCACGGGGACGTGTGTTCCAGGCCTCTCGCGCCCGCCACACGAGCGTCTTGCCTGTTCGTCTCTCGCCATGTCGAGATCGCCAGACTGGTTTTAAGCAGGTACTTACTCTTCAGTCTTTATTTTTTGATCTTCTGGGACTGCCCCCATCTCCCGGCAACTCTTTGCGGGAGCAGGGTGCGGAGGAGAACGGGGCCCGAGCTCAGCCCCCCCGTGCACTTCAGGCCCAAGAGGGGCTCCGCCGTGGGCGGGAAATACCAGAAATGCCCCCTTTGCCTACCGCTGCATCATCCCTGCGGGTATTTTTCCCCATTTGCTGTCCAAAAATGGGAATGGGCCTTTATCCGTGGAAGAGCTGGGGAGGGTGTCCGTGGCGCCCGCGTGGCCCCAGGCCGTGCTGGGCTGCATGTTAGCTGCTGAGTTATCCCGCATGGGTCTCATGTTAAACGCGTAAGGACGTTGCGGGGTTCTGTTCATATTTCCTTTTTTCCGGGGGGAGAATGACCCCGACCCCAAGTTCAGAACCCATGGCTGTTTCGCAGCTCTCCTTTTAACCCGTCTTTGGAGCGATGTGGCTGCATTCTAGTCTCCTGCTTGCCATCTTGAGGGAACTGGGTTCAGCCGAGGGTGGCTTCTGGACATTTCCGTGAAGAAGCGCTCCTCTTTGCGCACAACAGCAGCCGCTGGACACCTTGCCACCCAGCTCCCGGGGGTGAGGTGGCCTGCCGCTGCGAGATGGCTCCTTCCTTCCCGGCACATGCAGCCGAGCAGGGCGTGGAAGCAAGCCGTGGCCCTTGGCGCCTCCCTGCTGCAGCTTGTGGGGAGGCGTGCGCACTGGGAGGATGTGCCCGAGTGGAGGTGACTCTGTTTGGGTGGGGCTTTTGCGGGTGGGAGGGTTCAGGGGGATGCCAGCCCTACATATCTGGGGCAAGCGAGAACACACCCGCTCTCAGGCGCAGCACCATCATGCAAGGTGGCGCTCCGCTGCCTGGGGGCTGCCAGCCAGCTCCGGGGCCGCTGGGCAAGGACATGTGCCGGCAGGCTCGCCCTGCTCCCAGGCGTTCGACGAGGCCTCTGAGTGTGGCTGGGCTTTGCCAGTTTAAGTTGCTTGGGGTTCTTTCAAATGGCTTTAGGCTTGGCTGGAAGATGCCCTGCCCTTACTTAGAGAAGAGCGTCCAAACCGTTCAATCAATAATAATATCAATAATAATAGGCTGATTTACATATCGTGCTGCCATTGGCTAGCTCGGCTGCAGGGGCAGATAGGAGGGGGTGCCATGGTGACAGCCGGCTGAGGGGGCGCTTGCCCAGGGAGGGTGAAGGCGGGAGCGAGGAGCAGGGGGAGCAGCGCCTGGGAGGCCCCTCGGCGGGGGAGCGCGGAGCAGGAGCTCTCCGGTGGTCTCGCCAGGGCCAGGCCTGCGCGGCTGCTGCTCAGGGCCCTTGCGGTCCTTCTGGCGCAGGTGGAGCGCCCTGGGTGGTGACGGGGCTTTGGGCAGGGCTGCAGGGACAGGTAGGCACGCGTTCCGGAGGGCCGGCTGGGAACAGCCTCCCGGCCGGCAGGGCCACTGTCCTCTCCTGCGGGACGGGGCCCGGAAGCCGCTTGCTTGAGTCTCCCGGCACGGAGGGCTGAGTCCCGCCGTGCGCTGCCTCGCGTGGTCAGCTCGGCAGGGCGCGGGGATGCTTGGGGCATGCGAAGGTCCCCCGGCTGGGGCCTGGCCTGGACGTGGCTGACCCGCCAGTGGGGGGCAGCGACAACCCCAGTTGCATGATGGGGCCTGCTGGTGCGCTCATCGCAGGCAGGGTGGGCGGGCTGCGGCTCCAGCTCGGCCCGGCCGTGCGTGTCTCTTCTGCAGCCCAGCCCTCCGATTTGCCATTTCTTTTCTCAGCCCCGATTCATGCAGCGTCCAGTGTAGATTTAGGAATCATATTTTCCCTAAAGGGGCCTCAAAGCAATATGCAAAAGCCCCCTCGTATCTGCACGATCACATTAAAAAACAAAATAAGATCCAGAGAGCCGCGTGGAGGCAGCACTATTTAACACCCTCAGGCTGGCTTGAGCGAAAGAGTCCCCGTAGGAAGGAGGGGGCCGGCAGGGCTTCCCCAGGGAGAATGCCCCGCGGCCTGGGTGCTGACACAGGACAGGCCTGCCTGCCGAACCCTCCCCTCGCGGATGGGATGTGCGAAGCTCGCCTGTGAAGGGCGCTCCGTGGGATTTACATCCGGGAAACGTGATGCCCCAGAAGCTCCCTTCTTTCAAGGTTGTGAGTTGAGTGATGGATGGGACGGGAGCGGAGCTTGGCATGGCTTTGGGAAGACTGTCAGGAAGGCAGCCCTCAGAAGCGACGCGCGGCACAAGAGGCGGGATGCGCGCTGGGTGCCGGAGGCGGAGGGCACACAGTGCCTGTGCAGGAGGCGTCTTCGTGGAGGGGGAACCTCAGTGCTCGTTAGAGTGCCAGAAACATGCGCCTGGATGGAAAGAAATTCCTTCTTGTTCAGGGAAGGAACCAGCCCATCCGTTCTGTGTGCGTGAGTGTACGGCTGAAGTGGAAGGTTAGAACAGAAGCGAAGCGAAGCACTGGAAGGGGCCAGAAGGCCATCTGGTCCAGCTTCCTGCTGTTGCAGAATACGGCATTACCCCGTCCCACTCCGGTGGCGGCCCAGTTTGTGTTTGGATGTCCCCAGGGTGGCAGAGCCCCCGGTCCACTGCCGCGCTGCTCTGGTGGTGAGGAAGCTTTCCCTGGCCTGCAGCCGAGCTGCCACAGCTTGGATCGATCCCTCTGTGCGCTGCACGGTGGGCACGGAGCCAAGGGGGGTTGGTGCGGTTTCTCTTTATGGTGCGTTCCAGCTGGGACGAAGGCTTGCCAGCTCAGGAGGAGGGCCCAGATCCTTGTAACGAGCGAGGCCCAGAGGGAGCAGCTGGCTCCCGGGAAGGCTGCTCTGCCGCCCTTCCTCGGCACTCGGGCACCATGGCGCGCCCGCCCCCGCCCGAGCTCTGGGCCTGGCATTCCTGGGTCTGGCGCATCCCAGCTCTGCATCCTCCTCTCGCATGGTCTCATGAACTTTGCTCCGCTGCCCTTCCACATCCGGCTGTGCGGGGGGACCTGCTGTTCGCGTGAGTGAAGGGGGCCCCGCCTTTCCAACGCAGGAGCCTGCAGCAGCTTCCCAGACACCAGCCTTAGCCAAAAAGAGCTCCAGAGACCAGGACATGAGGTCTGGCAGCACAGGGGGCTGGAGAGCGCTTGCCTTCTGGGGATGAGGGAGAATGTGTTATGTGTTGAGGGGAATCATAGAAGGGGTCAGAAGGCCCTCAGGTCCAGCCCCTGCTGTCGCAGGACACCGAGTGACGCCACCCCACTCAGAGGGCTGTCCAGACCCCTTCCGAATGCCTCCGGTGAGGGGGAGCCTGCAGCTTCCCCCAGTAACAGGTTCCTCAGTCAAACCGCACTGCCAGTCAGGGAATTCTTCCGGCTGCCTAGTCGAAATCTGCTTGCTTTTAACGCCAGCCCCTTATTCCGCGTCCTGCACTCTGAAATGGAGGAGGGGCCTCGTCCTCCCCCTTGTGACGGAGGGTATTTGCTACTCCACCAGCGTTGCGTCGTCTGCAGATTGAATTAACTGAATCGTCCGTTAAATGTCGAAGAGGACTGATTCCAGGACAGCCCTGCAGCGCTCCAGTCGTCTGGCGCGTCTCCTGTTTTTGAAGATTCATTGAAGATGGAAGCCAGTGGTTCTGGGAGTTCCTCCTCCAGCTCTTTTATTACTCTGCGATGGAGTTCATTGGGCCCTGGAGTTGGGAATGTGTTTATTCCATCCAGGAATTCCTTGAGCGGTTGTCAGTCAGTCTGGGGCTGCCAACTCCCACTTCCAGCTTGTCCTCCTTGGTTGTAGGTTTCCTTGTGGGAGAAGACGGAGGCGAAGTACGAACCGAGCGCCTCTGCCTTTTCCTTGTCGTCTGTTATCACTCTGCCATCCACTTTACGTAGCTGGACATGCTTCTCTTTCTCATGCCTTTTGTGCTAGATGTACCCGAAGAAGGCTTTCTTGTTGTTCGTAGAATCCCTTGCTGCTCTCAGGTCATTTCCTGCGTTAGCCTTCCTGAGGCCGTCCCTGAACTTCCTTGCTGTTCGTTTATATTCTTCCTTCCTGGCCTGGCCTGGCCCTGCTTCCGCCTCCTCTGCATGTTCTTTTCTTTGAGGCTACCTGGGCTTCCTCTGCTGCCTTGTACGCTTTTTTCTTGATGGAAAGGTTTGTGGTTGTGCTTGGAGAATCTTCTTTTCCAAGATTTCCCCCCACCCTGGACTCCTTTTCCCTTAAGAGGGAGTTGCCACGGCACCTTGCAGATCATTGTCCCGAGAGCTTGCCCTGACGCACGTTTCCCGCCGCTCCCTGCGTGGCTGCCCTTGTGTGCGGAATGCCGGATTGGAAGCCCCTCGGGGCAGGGCTCTGTCCGCCTCTTGTGGCTCTCTTATGGAATCGTTCCTGTTTTGGGGCCACGCAAGGCATGCGACGGAAGTCCCCCCCTTCCTCCTCAGCTCCAGCAGCAGCACGAGGCTGTCCAGAGCGGCCGCCCTCCCGTCCTACTCTGGCCGCTGGGGCAGGAGCCGGACAGGGCGCTGCTGGCTTTTCCGGGGAGGCCTCTGCACGCCGCGGAGCACGGGGGACCCCACGCACGTGCTCAGAGCAGCCCTGGGAAGCCTCTGGGCGTGCGGCTTCGCTGAAAGCAGCATGCGAACGCCTCTGACCCCGAGGGAAGGACTCGCCTGGGTCCCGGAGAGTGGAGTGCCTGCGTGAGGCCTGGGGGGGTCGCGGAGGGGCACTGCGTAGGTGCAGGGCCTGGGCAGGAGAGCGCTCGCCCTGAGCGGTTGCCGCAGCCCCATCCTCTGCCTCGTGCTCTGCTGCTCCCTGCTCATCCCTTCTGCCACCGCCTCTTGGTTTCCCGGGCCTTTCATTCCCACGCAGCCACTGAGCGGGCGCCTGGCGGAGGAGGAGGAGGATGGGCCTGATGCTGAGCCGGTCAGGCAAGACCCTGCCTCCTCTTCCTCCCCAGGTGCCCCACCTTGTGCATTCGGGGGGGGCTCGAACCCCCCCCCCGTGCCCAGAGCGCCTCTTTCGCCAGTAGGGTGCTATCATCTCTCCCCTCAGTGTGCTCTTCTTGAGGCTTCACGTTCTCCCAGGCTGTCTCCACGGGGCTTTGTGTCCAGTCCCCGGATCACCCCCGCTGCCTCCTCCGGACCCCTCCCCGCTTGCCTGCACCTTGTCTGAAGTGCCCAGAACGGGACACAGCTCTCCAGACAGGCCTCCCCAGGGCTGAGGAGGGGGGGTCCTCGCTCTTCCAGGGATTGATTCTGCTCATGCAGCCCAAAATAGCCTTGGTCCCCTTTGCAGCCCCATCACATGGCTGACGCATGTTCCACTTGTGATCTGTGGCAGTTCCGAGGTCCTTCCCACTGGCAGTCTGGTTGAGCCGAGTGTCCCCGTCTTGTCACTAGGCCTCTTGGTGCTCTTTCTGGGTGCAGAACTTGGTGTTTGTCCCAGCAGAAATTCATGGTGGTTTTCAGCCTCGCGCTCCAGCCTGTCAAGGTCGCCTTAGAATCACAGAGGGTCGAGCTGGAAGGGGCCATGAAGCCATCGGGTCCACCCCCCTGCTGAGCAGGACTCCACCGTACGCCAGCCCACTAGATGGCTCGAATCTTCTCTCTGCCTTCCAGGGCATTGGCTCTCCCACCCCAGCTATCCCTGAGGCCCTGGAGATTTGAACCGTTCCCCCAGTTGGACCATTTGCCTGCCAGCCTCGAGCTCCCATCCTTCCTCAGCTTGCGCTTCCCGAGCCAGGAAGGTCATGGACCTCCTTGCGGGACGAGCACTTCCTCCCGTTCTTGGCTGTCTGTTCTCATTTTGCCACCCGCATTGAGTAGCTGAACCGCCGCTTCTTTCCTCCGCCTTTCCCCTTCCATCCCTTTCCTCATCTTGCTTGCTCTCTGTCTTTTCCCCTTGGGAAACGATCACAAACACTCAACATCACAAATTGGCCAAACACACCAGCGGATGCTGAACAGACATGCAAGGGTCAAATCCATGCTTTTCAGAAGGCCTTGTACTTCTAAGTTCGAACGCCTCGTGGAGAACGTGAGCTTTTTCAGAAGCTTCCTCTGGTCTCGGCAAAGTGTGTTCATTTTATCATATGCCAGATGCGCAGTGACCCTCCAGGTTTGAATGGGATACCGCTACTTTCCGCATAACGGATAGGAACCCTTAGTATGATGGCTTTCCTGACCTTCTGAAGGATCTGCTGGTCACCCTGGGGGAGATGAGTGCGGGTCGAGGGCCGTGTGTCTCCGGGAGGAGTAATCCAGGCCAGGTCGGTACCGCTCGGCCCGAAGGTCAAAAGAGCTCACTGCAGTGCCGGCCCGTAAATGTCTTAGCGTGCGCACCTGGGGTTCAGTATTGGTGCTTCACTGGGGCCGAAGCCCGTTGCTATCGAATTGCGGAAATACTGCACGTATCAGCTCATTCCTCCCGAGCGGAGTGGAGCCCTGACTCTCCGTCCCATTCCACGCAAAATGTCCGAAGGCCCTCTTCTCCGGGGATGCCCAGTCCCTCAAGGGACCACGCCTTCGGGAGCTGTGCGCCGTCCGGTGCGCCTGGAAATACCAGGGCGAACGGGGCAGAGAAGGACACGCCTCCCCGTCAGCCACTGGCACATCACCCCCGTTCCCTCCCGTGGAGCCTCCCGCGTTCCTGCCCAGCTGTCCTCCTTCCTGGTTCCATGACTCCGAACGAGTGTCCGGTGCCTCCTCCCAGAGGCAGAAGGCCGACGGTCCGAGGAGGACGTGCTCCTCCGGCCGAGGGCTCCGCGGCAGGGCTCGCGCCGGCTCGTCTCCCCTGCTTGGGGGCCATCGTGCCCAAGGGAGCGGCTGGCAGGGCTGCAGTCCAGCCCCAGGCTCCTTTTCCCAGAGGACGCCAGCGCTTCAGATGGCCGGTTTTGCCTCTTGGTGATGCTGCTGCCACGACGCTGCTGCCGAGCCACGCATTTCTTCCTCTGGGAGGCAGCCCCGTGGCCCACGTGGTGTTGCTCCTTCCCAGCAGCCCTGCGAGGAGGGCAAGGCCTCACCCCAGAGCCCCTCAGTCAGCTTCGTGGCCAAGGGGGACTCGAGCCCGGCCCGCCGAGTCCCAGCCCGGCACGCTTAGCCGCTGCCCCAGGCGGGGCTCTCCGGGTGTCCCCGACTGGGACACGCCAGCCCGCCAGCTTGGACTGGTCTCGGTCAGGCGGCAGCGGCCACGCTTGGCACGCTTCACGCAGTTCTGGCCCCCCGGCTGAGAAGGAGCTGCCACGACTGCGTTGGAGCCGCTGCCCCGAGAGGAACGGCCTGGCCAGCCGCGACTGCTTCGCTTGGAGACGGGCCACGAGGGGAGGCGGGCTGGGGTCTTCAAGCGTGCGCCTGGGTGCAGGAAGTGCTGGGGGAGGGCTTTCCTCCTGCGGGGCTGACGGGTGGGAGAGTCGGGACGGTTCACGGGAAGCACGTGGTGTGCGGCTCTGCGGCGCCGGCGGGTTTTCAGGACGGCCACCAGCTTGGAGCGCCCTGAAGGCGGTGGGCGATTCCCAGCAGGAAGGACCCCAGCAGCTACCGGCCCGGCCGGCTCTGCACCGCCTCCAGGGTCGGACGCTGTGAGCCGGGCACACGGCCGCTGCGCGCATGGGTGGGAGGTGCCGCTGCGCTCGTGTCCCGCATGCGGATCTCGGGCAGCGGGTGGGAGCAGGGCCTGGGCTAGATGCCCCCTGCCTGGACGCAGCCTCGGGGCACGTCTCCCCTCCTAGCGTTTGGTCTGCTGGCCCCAGGCGGCCTCCGGGGGCGTGGGCTCAGCAGCAGCCCCAGAGCGGTTTGGAGGAGAAGGGCCACTGGCTTCGGCCCAGGCGTTCTTCCCGCCGGATGCATTTTTCGCTCTTCTTTTACTTTGCCCTGAGGAAACAGCGGGAAGAGGCCGGGCCTGGTGCTCGCATTTCTGTACAAAAGGGCGAGGGTTGCGATGAAAGTGTGGCCCGGAAGCTTCTAGTGGGCCGGTTCCTGCAGTGAGGCGAAGCCATTCTCAGGGCGAAGAGTTGCCCACAACTTCAGTGAGAGCTTTTACTGCCCCCTAACATTATATAGGTATTCAGACTATATGGAATCCTGGCGCAAGAGCAGATATTTTCCCCGTGAGCAGGCAGGGACGCGTGTTCGATAACTCCTCCTCTGTGATGTTTGTGGGTGCGACACCCGTGCGCCGGGCCGTGAGCGGGATCACCGGCGATTCCTCGAGCGGCTTCAATTCCTACAGCGCAGTTCGGATCGACGCCAAGAAAGCATCTGCACTTCCACAGTTCCTGCCATCTTACCGCTTCTTCCTCAGCGCACCATGATATTAATTATTCTTGCTGTTAATTTAGGGTAGACGCTGCGAACCCATCTCCGGCAGTCGCACCGTTTCGTTCCCCGGTTTTTGATTGTGTGGCAGTTCCTGCCGCGGGATGCGGCCTGTCGTGGGGCTGCCCCGGGCCGGCCCCATGGCCCCTCCCTGACGTGCTTCCTGCTTTTTGCCAGGGCTGCTTCCACCACCGCCGCCACCGAGTTGCTCTGTCCGTCCACGAGGACCCCGCGCGCACACCGCAGCCCGTGATGGTGGGAGCCTCCCCCGGCAGCCGCGCCGCTTCTGGGGAGTGCCGGGGTGGCGCGTGGCCCCAGCGAGCCGCACCGCTGACCATCTGCTGCCGGCGTGGGAGTGCGGAGCGGCGCAGAGAGGGGACCGGCTGCAGAGGGGTGAGTGGGGCGGCCGGGGGGTCTCTGCCGCGAGACGGCCCTCCGATGGACGGGGCTTTCGGGCTGCATCTCGGGTGGAACGCCCGGCAGAAGTCAGTGAGCGGGCAAAGGCGTAGAAATGCAGCACTAGGCAAGACAGGAGCAGGTGGTGCCTGCACAGCCAGCCCCCGGGGGGCTCCAGGATGGCGAACAGGCGGGCTTCGGAGCCTTCTTGAAGACGTGCAGAAAGGGCCCTGGGGGGCTTGCGAGACGGCGGTGTGGGGCCTCTGCCCGGACGCCTGCTGCACGCTCGCCCCACGTGGGGCACTGCGGGAAGCAGGCAGGCCGGCCCGACCCATGGGAGGTAGTTTGGCTCCCGCAGCCTGGCGAGGTGGACAGGGCGCTGGGGTCTGCCCGGCCCACCAGCTGCTCCCCTGATGCTGGCCCTCCCGGCCGGTCAGGACATTCACCGCCGGGTCCAAGCCGCGGCCCAGGAGGCCGTTGCTGCCTCTTCGGCGAGGGAGTAGTGCCTCCGCTTGAGAAGCGGTGGCGATTGTGCCACGCCGGAAGGACCCTGCCCCGGACCAGCCGATGTGACCGGTTGCCAGCCTGCCCCTTGGGGCGCGGTGGTTGGGCGGGTGGTGGCCGGGCAGCTCCAGGCTCTCCTGGGGGAAAGGCTTGTCCAGATCCATTTGAGGTGGACTTTGGGCCGGGACAGAGGCTGCCTCGGTCGCCCTGTGGGGGAGAGACGGGGAGGGCGTCCCGCTTGCCCTCCTGGACCTCAGCCGCTTTCGAGACCATTAGCCGTGGTGTCCTGGGGAGGCTGGCCAGGATGGGGGTGGGGGCTCCGCTTCTAACTGGGCGACCCCCTCCAGATGGGGCTCCTGCTCGCGCTCTGCACCATGGCCTTCGCACCAGGGTGTCGTGCAGGGCCCCATTTTGTCCCCCACGTTTTCACGTCTGCATGAAACCGCGGGGGGAGGCCCGGAGGCGGTTTGGGCCGAAGTGCCACCGGGACGCGGACGGCACGCAGCGCTGCCTCTCTGACTGCCCCGGCCCAGCGCCTGAGTGCACTACGGGGCCGGGTGCCGGGTGCGGGCCACTGCGCCGCGGCTGCAGGCCAGGCGGAGGGGCCGTCCATGGGGAGCCCTTCTGTGCAACCGGGGGATTTTCGGCGTCTTCTGGATGGGGCAGCGCCCCCCCTCGAGGAGGAGGCTCACAGCCTGGGGGTGCTCCTGCACCCTGCGCGGTCTCTCATTGTGCGGGTGGACGCCGCCTTCAGGAGCGCTGTCCCTAGGCCGCCCCCCCTTGGACGAGCCACGCCTCGCCCAGCGCTGGCCGCCTCCCCCCAGGATGATCGCACCTGCTCCGCGGGGGCCGCCTTTGGAAGCGGCCTGGGCCTTGCGGCCTGCCGGCATCGGGCGCAGGCTGCTGAGGAGGCCGGGTGCCCGTGCCCCTCACGCCGGCCCTGCCCTGGCCGCCCGTTGCCACCCAGGCCCCGTCCAAAGTGCTTACGCAGCCGCCGGCGGCTCGGGGCCTGGCCCGCGGGGGAGCGCCTTTCCCCTCTGTACCAGCCCGTTCCCTGCAGTCCTCGGCCGAAGCCCCGCTCTGCGTTCCTCCCGCTGAGGCAGCGGACGGAGTGGCGAGGAGGAGGGCTGGCCGGGCGCAGCACCCCAGCCCTGGAACTCCGCCTCAGCGGAGGCCCGCTTGGCGCTGGCCCTTTTGGCCCGCAGGCATCGACTGCAGACATATTTTTTCCACGGTCATTTTAACTGGCGAATTCTAGACTTCGGTGTTTAAAATTTTTACACCACTACATGATGCTGCCAGAATGTGTAAAATGCTAGCTTTTGATCAAAACGAAAATCTTAATTGGCTTATGTTTTGCTTTTAGAGTTTTATAGAACAAATATTGTATTTATTATTCCTCTATCATTGCTTTGCTTGCTTAGTTTGCTTCATGGTTTTATTATTGTGGGTCGACGTAGCTGTGCGGTTGCGTGGCGCCTGTTCTGTGCTGCCTGGGAGGGATCGCACCCAGATGCGAGCTGCCAAGCGGCCCGGGAGGCGAGCGAGCAAGTGAAAGCAGCGGCAGGCGCCCGAGGCCCCGTCCCGCCGGACCCTGACCCCCCCCCCCGCTCTCTGCCTAGATGCGGCCGTGCGGCACGTGGCGTGCCAGGGGCTCGTCCGGGCGCCCCCACCCTGCGGCACTTTAGCGCCCGTCCCGCCACACCCCATGCGGCACATCAACGCGGAGGCGGCCCCGCCCCGGGAGCGCGGCGTGGGCACGAGCCGGCGGCAGCAGCCGGGCGACGAGGAGGAGGACGAGGAGGAGGAGGAGCCCCGCCCCTGGCCCCGCGGCTTCCTGCTGGGCTGCGGCCCGCCGGCCCTCGCTCCGCAGAAGGTGTACCAGGTCTCCATCTTCTCCCCGCCAGAGGGGTGCCCCCAGCCCCCCGAGCAGAGGGCCCCGGGGCGGCAGCCCATCAAGCGGGCCTGCCCGGGGCCCCTGCGCCCGGCCGAGGGGCCGCGGGACGCCAAGCGCCGCCCCTGGGAGGACGAGGGCGATGACGCCATCGAGGACGGGCTCCTGGGGGACGAGCTCTCCCTGGGCGGCGCCGCCCAGCACTTCTCGCACAGTGGCCTGCGCGTGGTGGAGCACCGCCCGGAGGGTGGCCCCGGCCCCCCGAGGGCCCCGGGGGGCGCCGCACAGCTGCCGCGCCCACCGCACAGCACTTTGCACAGACGAGACTGCGGCCCCGCCCCGCCGGGGGCCTGCCCCACGGACTCCGGCCCCGCCGAGAGGCGCGGGGAGAACGGGGCCTCGCAGGCCACGGGGCACGGCGGCCACCGTCCCCTGGCCGACCCCGATTTGCACAGCCTTGCGCCCCCCTCCCCGCCCGGGGGCGGGCCCCCAGTGACCAGCGGACCGGTGGAGCCCGGCACTCCGCCGGCGGCGCACGCCTCCGACACCAATGGCCTGGCCTCCGCCGAGAAGACGCCGCCAGGCCCCCTGCTTGCCGGGAGCAGCGCTGTGGGCGGCTGCCCGGCCAAGCGAAAGCTGCTGCCCTCGACGGAGGGGTCGCCGGACCCCGGCTACGAGGACGAGAGCCTCCCGCCGGCCCGGAAGAAGAGGAGCCTGCCGTGCCCGGCCGTGCCCGCCTCCTGCCGCAGCACCGATGCCAAGGGGGCCCCCTTCTGGAACCACCTGCTTCCTGCCGCCAAGGTGAGGAGGCGGGCGCGTTGCCCGCCTAGGGGACGGGGCTGGGGCCACAGGCGGGCAGGCGCTGCCCCACAGGGGGGCAGGGCAGGCAGGTCGGGGAGCCGGGTGCCCCGCGGAGGGCCAGGAGACCCGCTCTGTCTTCTGGCTCATGGGGACGTCTTGCCTCCGCTCTTTTTTCCTGCTGCTCGTGTGCGGGGACAGTATCCTTGCGTGGTCGTGGAGGCCGGGGACTGTGGGCACCGAGGGGCGCACCATGCCTCTCCCGCACACACTTCCGCGCACCCCGAGGGCCTCGGAGGCGCCCCACCTTGCCGCCATCTCATCCCACTCTCTTCTGCTCTTTGGCCTCGTGGCCCCACCACAGCGTCAGAGGGGCAGAGCATGGGGTGCGCCTCACAGCTGCTGCGGGAGAAGCGGCCCGCAGGCAAACCTGCCTGGACTAGCCCGTCCCGATGTGGGAGAGCTGCCCCGGGTGTGGAAGGAGCCCCTGCCTGGGGCAGCCCGGGCCCTCCCGGGGCCACGCGGGCGGGATTCCCTCCCCTCCATGCTGCTCCTGGCGGGCCAGTGGGGCTGTGCGGGGCCCCACCAAAGGGGCCCGAGCGTGCTGCGCGCTCGTGCAGAGGCCCCCCAGGCCCCGCTCCTCCCTTGTGCGCGCGTGTGGCGGGGCCTTTCTGGGCTGCTGTCCAGCCTGGCTGTGCCTTCGGGCAGAGCAAGCCTCGGCTGCCACGGCCCGGCCACAGGCAGGGGCCCCACTGCTCTGAGCCGAAACGGCGGACACCCTGGGGCGCCTTCAGGGCCTTGGGCGTGCCGAGAGGCATGTGTGGATGCGCGCAAGCGGGTCGGGTACCCGGGCGCACGGCTTCCCCTGACTGCTCTCCCCTTGTGTCTCCCCCGGCCCAGGGCTCGGGCAGCAGCAGTGCCGGCAACTGTCCGCCGAAGGCCGGGCTGCGTCTCCAACCGTGAGTGTCCCGTTGCTTCCTGGCCTCGCTGCGGCCGAGGGCCCCCGGCCGCCCGGGCCTGCCTCGAGAGCGGCTGCGCTGGGGGGAGGCGCACAGAGGCTGCAGGAGGGGGGCCCCGAGCCCGGGGGCCCCTGCTGGCCCAGCCTGGAGCCCTCCGGGTCTTGTGGACTTCGGCCCCCATCGCCGTAGCACCAGCTGTGCTGGCTAGGGTGATGGGAGTCGTAGTCCCACGTATCTCGAGGGCCCAGGCTGGGGAAGGCCATTCTGGCAGCCTTCTTCCCATGATCCTCCTGCAGGGTCTCTGGCAGAGCGGTCGTTCCTGGGTCCAGCCGCTGGGGGGCTTCAGCAGAGGGGGCATCAGCCCCCGTGACGCTGCCGGGACCCCCTGCAGCCCCTGAGGGCAGCGGGGATGTGTTCGGGCTCCGGCCAGGACTTCACCACAGCCTTCTGCCCCCGCCAGGAGGCACCTGCGGAGCGGCCCGCGGCGGACTCCCGCAGGCAGCAGGCCCCTGCACGCACCCTGGGCCACCACCTCCACCAGCCGCGCCCTGCTGGGCAACTTTGAGGTAACGGCTGCCCGGAGCCGGGTGCGCCTCGGGGAGGGCAGGCGAGGCGAGGCGGGAGGGGAGAACCTGGCCTCTGCGGCTCGCTCCGCCAGGCAGCTGCGCTTCTGCAGCCGGCCGCACCGGGAGGCCGAGGATGCGGCTGCCGTCCACTGCTTTGCCCCTCGTGAGCGACGTCCGGGGCAGGGGCTGGGGACCCCCTCCCCCTCCCCCTCGGAGGCAGCCGCCTGCCCTGCGGCCCGCTGGGGTCCGCACTCTGGCACCGGCCCAGGGCTCTTGCTGTGCCAGGGCCAGGCCGGGCTGGGGCCCTTCTGCGGCTCGCCTGTCGTCAGGAGGTGGAGCCGCCGGGAAGGTCCTGGGCGCTGGCCCGGGCACGGGGAGGAGGGTGGCTGGGTCTCCCGGTGAGCAAGCAGCGCGTAGTAAAGGGAGGGCCTTCTGGGCGCTGTGTGGGAAGCAGCCGCAGCCCAGATGGAGCCTGGGGGCCAGTCCCCCACCCACCCTGCTGGGAGCCCCTCCATGCCCAGCGGGCCGAGCAGAGCCCGCCCCCCCTCACGGCCGCCCCCTGCCCCCCCCCGGGCAGGAGTCCATGCTCCCGCGGCGCCCCCCGGAGCCGGGCCGCATCGAGGGCTTCACCGCGGAGATCGGCGCCAGCGGCTCCTACTGCCCGCAGCACGTGACCCTGCCGGTGGAGGTCACCTACTTCGACATAGCCGAGCACAGCGCCCCCTCGCCCTTCCTGGTGCGTGGCTCCGTGGGGGGCGGGGGCGGGGGCACGCCTGCCCGGACAGGGGGACCGCGGCCCTCCGGGGGAGCCCCCGCGGGACTGGGCCACGGCTGCCGGCTCCTCCAAGGCCTGCCGGCACAGCCCGGCGAATCCCGGGCGCCTTGCCCCGGCCTCCTGGCGGCAGAGGCCAGAAGGGCCATTGGCCGAGCGTCCCCCTCTGCAGGGCTGGCTCCTGGCGGGGCTGCCCCGCTCCTGGCCGCTCCCTGCCGTGTGCTCGGGGACGCGCACAGCAGGGCCGTGGTGCCGGGCTGCCCGGCCGGCCCGGCCCACCTCTGCCTTCCCCTCCTGCCGCAGGGAGTCGTGGATCTGGAGGCCTTGGGGAAGAAGGGCTACAGCGTCCCCAAGACGGGCACCATCCAAGTGGTGAGTGGCAGGAGGCGCAGCCGGGAAGCGGGCCGGGAAGAGGGGGGCGAGGGCTGGGCCGTCTGCAATCTGGGGGGAGCCCGGATGCGCGCCGGGCGGGGGGGCTCGGTGGCACAGGGAGCACGCCCGCCCCCGCGGCTGACGCCTCTCTCGCAGACCTTATTCAACCCGAACAAGACCGTGGTGAAGATGTTCCTGGTGACCTACGACTTCCACGACATGCCCGCCAACCACGTCACCTTCCTGCGCCACCGCATCTTCCTGGTGCCCGTCGGAGAAGAGCCGGGGCCCGGCCCGGCCCCCGGCGAGCCGCCCCGGAGGGTGCTCTGCTACCTGCTGCACCTGAGGTAGGGGCTTCCCGCGGCAGGCGCCTCGGGAGGGCCGGGGGCCACGCTCACGCTGCTCCCCGCAGGGCCAGCCCCCTCGGGCCAGGGGAACGGGAGCTCCCCGCAGAGGGCCCCGCCCGGCCCTGCATTTTCCGGGCAGTGGGAGACGGGCTTGTTCGGAGGGCTCCTGAATCCGAACGCTGCGTGGCTGCCCCTCGCCTGCTCGCAAGGGCCGGGAGGGGCCCACACCCGGTCCGCACGTGGGGCTGCGCTGCTGCCCGTGGCCGCCGAGTTGTGCCCTGCCGAAGCGGCTTGGCGCGGGGAGGCCTGTCTCCGCCGCACACAGGGGCGGGCTGCGCTGCTTCCTTGCCCTCCGAAGACGGGGCAGTGGTGCCCATTCGTGTGGGGGGACTCTGGGCGGGGTCTTCCGCCCCCCCAGCCCCGGCCTGCTCTGGAGCTGTGGGGCCCGGCACCCCCATGGCGGGACCGAGAACCTTCCACCTTGTGACCTGAGCCTGGACTGCTTTCCGAGCCTGGATTGCCCCCTTCCTGTGGGACGCCGCCCAGAGCGGCTCCCCGCTTGCCCCCCCCGCCCCCCACGGCAAGTCTTGTTTCGGGCGCGCCCTCGCACTTGCGTCGTGGCCACGCGCAGGCAGGAGGGCCCCGCTCCGCGGCAGTGCCCGCTCTCCCTGCCTACGTCCTGCCTGCCCTGCTCCGCTGCTGCTTCGCTCCCGTGCTTTGCATGGCGTGTGGGGCCTGGAGGAGTTGCCTGTGGGGCGGCAACGGCACTCGCCGTTCCTGGTGCCGGCGCCGTGTGGGGCCTCCCTGCTGCTCGGGGCGCCCTGCTCGCCGTGCCCGCCCACCCCACTGCCTCCGGGGCCGGCCTCTGCCCCCTGAGCGACCGGTGCCCCTCCTCCCCCAGGTTCCACAGCTCCAAGTCCGGGAAGATCTACCTGCACGACAACATCCGCCTGCTCTTCTCGCGCAAGTCGATCGAGATCGACTCCGGGATCCCCTACGAGCTGAAGTCCTTCACGGAACTGCCACGGAACCCCTGCTACTCGCCGCGGGCCTGAGGGCAGGAGGGCCGGGCCGGAGCGGGTCCTCTGCAGAGGAAGGGTGGCTGGGCCGGAGCGTGGCTCGTGCCGCGCCATTTGTCGTCGGGGCGGGCGAGGGGCCTGCCTGCGCCCAGCCCGGGGCAGAAATGCAGCATGTTGGAAGCCCTCGAGCCAGAGACTGTCCCGTTCTTCTGGGGTGGGGGCTGGGGCTGGGGCGGGGTCTGCACAGGCGGGCCGGGGGCCTGGCAGAGAGGGGTGGAGATCGGCTTGAAGGTTGGGGGCAGGGGCTGTGCGGCCTTGGAGGGTGCAGAGGGGCCCTGGGACATCTGGATTTTGGGCCGTCCCAGGGAAGAGGGTGTGTGTGCGAGAAATGCGTTGGAATCGAGGAATGCGTCGAAGGCTTGTTGGGGAGTGGAAGGGGAGGCGCGGCCGGGGCAGGGAGGCGTGTGGGCAGCTTCCTCCCGGGGTCCCCGGCCTCGGCAGCAAAGGCTCAGGCTGCCCGGAGGAGCAGCCCCGGTGCGTTTGGGAAGGGCGGCCCCTGAGGGGCGAGCAGCCCCACACGAGCCCTGCAGGGCCCCGCTGCCGCCGCCGCCGTGGTGTGAGGGGGCCTCCCGCCCCCTCCTTGAGCCAGCCGCGCGAGACCGAGCCTTGCTCCCTGGTCAGGCGGGCTGGCCCTGGACCCTGGTCCTGCCACCCGCGCCACGGGCAGGAGAACGAAGGAGCCACCGCCGAGCCAGAGCAGCTGTGGCGCCGGACAGCGCAAGCCTGCCCTCCCGCCACCAGCTCCGGGTCCACGCGCTGCGTGTGACCTAGATGGAGAGGGCCGACGTCTCGCCTCGGGAGGTGAAGGGCGAGATTCTGGGGGGCCGAATCACCGCGACTCGCCCCTGCCCGGAGAGCGTGGGCCTTCCAGTGGAAGAAGCGCATGGTGCCAAACTGGATGGTGATGCCAAAGGGAGCAGAGTGCCGGCTGCGTGGGGCGCCTGGTGCAGGGGCTTTCTTCGGGGTGTTCGTAAAGTATTGGGGGTGGGGGGAGGAGGCCAGGATGCTGCCTTTGCAATCTTTTCAGCCCCTTCGGGGCGCAGGGACGAGAAGGACCTTGGCTGGGCCTCGGCAGCCTTTGGCTTGCCCCCAGAACAGCTGTTTGCTCCCTGTGCCCCTCTGGTTGGACTAACAACTCCATGTCCTCCTTCCAAGATGAGGGAGAGGAGAGGAGAGGAGAGGAGAGGAGAGGAGAGGAGAGGAGAGGAGAGGGGCAACCATTGAAGACACTTGAAAATATTTATATTTTAAAAGAGAGGCAGGAAAATGTACTGGATACTGTCTCTTTTTTGACAAAATTCTATAAATGTGTGTTTGGAAACAGAGTGTGTCTTCCTTTGTGCTTTTAGGATCTATTTGACCCTCGTTTAATAGGGTCCTGTTGAGGTGGTTCCTTCAGGAGCAACTGAAAGATCACCCCGGTGGACCACAGACGTTGAGGTCTGCTTGCCAAGCCCTTCCCTGTTTCCCATCAGAGAAAACCAGACCCCGTCCCATCATGCAGGAATATGACATGTCAGAACGTAACCCTTGCAGGAAACCTCTGGCCACATTCACCAGCATAAAAGTCCTTTAACTTAAGGCGCTTTTGAGGAATAGAGAGACAGACCGTGGTATATAAGTGACATACATACATACATACATACATACATACATACATACATAACAACAACAGCAAAGCAGCCCTGAAGCAGGGTATTTCCTCTAGCCATCCCTCCTCCTCCATCTCACAGGGGCTGATCTGCTGTTTCCAAAAAGCCCTCAGGCCACAGGAACTGGTCACCCCGCTCTGCTAGTCCCCGGCCAGCGGCTGGTGTTCAGGGCAGGCTCTCCCTGAAGGTAGAGGGGCCGTCTTGCGACTGCCTCCTGCTAGACCACCTCATAAATCTGCCACACCCTCCTTTTAACTGTTGAAGCTGCTGGATGACACTGTCCTGTGGCAGGGAATGTCCCAAGTCAGCCCTAAATCTGCTGCAATATTACTTTCCACAAAGATACCCGTCTGTAAAGTATTCTGCAAAAATGAGATTGGGGTATCGCTGTACCACTCCGACGCGCTGTGTTGGTGTTCTACCGAACATTTGCCCAAGTAACAGCCATTCCTCTTCCCACCCCTTTAACACTGGTGACATTAACACATCGCTCCAACAGGTCAGAAAGGTGTCACTCCGGTCGGGTGACTCCCAGATCAGCCACTGGTTGCAGTGGTGGGAAAGCCCGGTTAGAAGGTCAGCTTGGCCTCTGTCCATTCCTCATCTTTAAAGTTGGCATGTCTTCCTTGGTTACGTATTTTCCCTGCATTACATACATGTAGCAAATGCATTCTGAAGACTATTGAGAAACAACGTCCCAGATCTTTGTGACATCTGTTTGTCTTTATACAATCATAGAATAGAGTTGGAAGGAGCCATGAAGGCCATTGGGACCACCCCCTGCTGTGCAGGACACCACATCCCACCCTCCCACTCAGAGGGCTGCCCAGTTTCCCCTTGAATGTCTCCAGTGTGGGAGAGCCCCCCACCACTCCAGGCAGCCAGTCCCAGTGTTGTGTTCCTCTGAAAGGGAGGAAGCTTTCTCTGATGTCGAGCCTGAATTTGCATTTCTGCAACTTGAATTGATTATTCCGTGTCCTACACTCTGGCATTAGCAAGAAGAGATCTTGACAGCCTTTGAGGTACTCATAGAGGGATACCATGTCTCCCCCCTCCCCGCCCCCCAAGCCTTCTCTTCTCAAGGGGGAACATGCCCAGTTCTCTGTCTCTCAGAGGGCCAAGATTTCATACCCTGGATCGTGTTTGTTGCCCTCCTGTGGATCCTTTTTATCTTTCCTGCATCTTTCTTAAATCTTGGTGCCGAGAACTGGACATAGTATTCCAGTGGAGGTCTGACCAGTGAGGAATACTACTACTTCCCATGATTTGGAATACTTCTGTTAATGCATCCCAAAAGATTGCCTTTTCAGCGGCTGCCTTGCATCGTTGGCTCATATTTGGCCTGTTGTCCACAATTACCCTCAGGTCTTTTTCTTGTTCAGTTCTGTTGAGCCACATATTCCCCATCTTGTATCGATGCCTTTGGTTTCTTGTTCCCAGGTGGAGGACTTGGCACTTGTCCCTCTTGAACCTCACTCTGTTGCTTTCAGCCCAGTGTTCAGGTTTATCAAGCTCGCCCTGGATCTTCAGTCTTCTAGTGTGTTTGCTATTCCACCCAGTTCTGTATCATCTGCAAATCTGATTACCTTTCCTTGTACTTCCCTATCCAAATCATTAATATAAACGTGGAAGAGCACTCAGCTGAGGACTGAACCCTGTGTCACACCACTAGTTATCTCCATCCAATTGGAGAAGGTGCCATTGATTATGTGTCCAACTTAGCAGCCAAGTTTGGATCCGCCTAATAGTTTTTCTAGTCCACGTTTTGCTAATTTGCTTATCGGAATGTTGTGGGGCACCATGTTGAAAGCTTTGCCGAAATTGAAGTACGGGTGTTCCCGCAGTCCATTTGGGAGGTTACCCAGTGACCTGAGTAAAATGAGATTACATTAATCTGACAGGATTTTGATAAATCTTTGTTCGGTTCTATTAATCACTGCCTTTTCTTCAAGATGCTTGCAGACTGATTTTTTAAAAATTTGCTCCAGAATTTTTTAAGGGACTGATATCAGACTAACTGGTCTGCCATTCTCAATTTCATCCTTTTTTCTTCTTTTTGAAGATAGGAACATCGTTAGCCCTTCTGTTATATCCTTACAGTTCTCATCCTTGAAACAAGTGGGGAGGAACCATGTCTGCGGCAGTTGGAGGACAAATACCTTAAAACTCATTTCAAAAATGAGCCAGTGCCTGATGCGGAGGTGTGACGGCTAGTTACGCGCTGGCCAAGGGTGCCATTCGCCGCAGATGCGGTGCAGCTGGGGCGCCTCACCCGGGAAGAAGCCCACTCCGGAGCAAGGGCCATTCCCCCAAAACGAATCCCTTGGCGTGCCGGGAGCACTGTTCCCATTTCCCCGACCAGCCAGCAAAGGCGGCTTCCGGGCGCGGCGCAGAGCCGCCCGCAGAAGGCCCGGCCGGGGGCGCTTGGAAGGCGGAGCGCGCGCAGCCCAGCAGGAGGGAACCAGCCCCGGCCCCTCCCCGCTTCCAGCTTTTCGCCGGCGAAACGGACGCCGGCACAAGACCCGGCGCGGCCGCGGGCCGGGCGCCGTCGGGGCCGGGCGGCAGTGCACCTCGCCCGCCTTCCGCGGTGCCCGGGCCGGAGCGCGCGGAACCCTCCGCGCGGCGCTCGTTGCTGAGGGGACGTGCGAAAGCGCGCGGCACCGGAAGGACGCTCCAGCCGAGGCCTCGCTCGCGCTCTGCCTCGGCCGCCAGCCGATCCTTCAGTTTCCGCCACAGAGATGCCGGCGGCCAGAGCGGCACCGACGGACCGCGCGCTTCCGGCCCCCCTGGGGTCCATGGTTCCGGCGAGCGCGGCGCCCCGCAGACCCGGCGCTCGGAGTGCGGCCGAGGCGCTGTCCGGGCCCGCTGCTCGAGGCCGGGCCCGCGCCGAGCTTGCTGCAGCTCCGGGCCGCCGAGGGGCTGGGCTTGCCGCGCGGCGGGAGCCGGAAGTGGGATCTCCGCGGGCCGGCGGCGGAAGGGGTTCGGCGCGGACCGGCTTCCGGCGGGCGGCGATGCAGGCGGCACTGCGGGCGGCGCGCGGGGCTGCCGGCGGGCTCCTCCTGCGGGAGGTGAGTGGGGAGGCCGCCCCGGCAGCCCGGGACCAGCGCCGGAGCCGCGGCTCTGGGGCCGGCCGAGCGGGACGCCGGCGGCCGCGCCTGGCCCTCGGGAGGGAGGAGAAGCGGGTGCCGGCGGGCCCGCAACGCCTCGCGCATCCCGGGACGTGCTGGGAGCCGCAGGCCCGCGGCGGGGTGGCCCACGTGGCGCAGCGTCGCGGGCGGAGCGTGGGCCGGTGTCTGGGCGGACACGGGGACTTGCTGGGCGAGACCCGGATCCTCTTCGCGGTGCGCGTCCTCCAGCCTGAGCGCCCAGGATGGGCCCTACACGGGGAGCGGGGGCAGAAGACCCCCGCCCCGCCCCCCGTGCCTTCTTGGGGTGGCCGGGGCCCCAAGCTCCCTGTCCTTTCCCTAAAAGGCTCTGCAGAATGGCCGGCGGCCAGTGCCCACCACGTGGCTTGTCCGGGTGCCCCGGAGATGGTCCTACAACCGGCCCATGAACACACTGATCCTCTTCGTGCCCCAGCAGGAGGCTTGGGTGGTGGAGCGGATGGGGAAGTTCCATCGCATCCTGGAGCCAGTAAGAGCACTTCCGTTTGGGCTTGGGAAGGGGCGATCGGTGAGGAAGAAACGGGGGGAATGGAGTTGACCCTTCCACCAACAGCCTCCGCGTCATGCGCCTCACATTGCTGCCGAGAAGATCCGCCAGAGCAGCTGAGCAGTGCAGGGGGCTGTGGCGGGGGGGAGGACACTGAAGCCTGTGCCAGGGCCAGATGCGACGCAAAACCTCAAGGCACGTTTGAGAGACTCAGAAAAGCTTCCTTGTGTGCTGCAGGAAAGAGAGTGTGAGGTAGCCTTGTGTACGCACACACGGGATGGGGCTGACAGGTTTTCTGTGGAGGGCTGGGGGCTTGTCCTTGTTCTTGGGTAACAGAAGGTGTAGTTAGTCTTCCCCATTGGTTCTTGGCTTCAGTTTGCTCTGGCGGAGGAGCTGCGGCTCAGTGGCAGAACACGAGATTTTCATGGGCAAGACCTGTTGCTCGATCGTTAGCATGTCTCCGTGGGGCTCAGAAAGAGCCTGTGGGCCTAAGAGCCGTGCTGATGCTCTCAAGCTGGAGTGGCCGCAGGCCTGATTCTGGGCAGGCAGCTTCCGATGATCCTCTTTGGGCCGGGGCTTCTGCCGTCTGCCGTGTCTGGAAGAGGGTGTTGCTGCATGCCGGGCTCCACATTTCAGGAGCAGGACCTCGTTCTCAGACCACTTGTCCAAAACGCGTTCATGACTTCAGCCCCATGGCATTCTTGGTCAGCACATTTCAAGTCTGTAGCTCTGGAAGGAAGCCTTGAGGCACTAGAAGGCCCAGAAATTCAGTGGCTGCTGAACAGTTGCTCCCACTGAGCCCTGAAGCTCTGCCTGAGCAGTGCCGGACCGGAGTTTGCCTGGAGATCCAAGAGCCAATTTGAGCTAGAGAAGGAAGAGGTGATTACGCTGGAGAAAAACTTTTCCTTCTGTGCTCATCCTTGCCAGGGACTGAACTTCCTCATCCCGTTTCTGGATCGCATCCGCTATGTACAAAGTCTTAAAGAAATCGTCATTAATGTGCCGGAGCAGACGGCCATTACCCTTGGTGAGCTGTTCCGCTGGGGAGGCGAGGGGCAGAGGCTGGCAGGGGCCAGCTTGGATCTGCCCGCAGACGAGTCCCGTGTCGGGTTCTCTGGGAGCCACTTTGCTCCGCTGAGGGCAGCGGGCCTCGCTGGCAACGTTGCCTGCTGGTGGCATAGCTTAGTCTGAGCCTGCGTGGGCAGAGGTTGGCTGTCCCTGGACCGGCAGCCAGTGTGGTGTGCTGGTTCCTGTTGGGCTGGGGACACTCCAGGCGCCAAGCCCCCCTTGGCCATGAAGCTTGCTGGGCGACTTTGGGCCGATCAGACTCTCAGCCCAGCCTCCCTCACACCGTGGCTGCTGTGGGAATGACCGTGGAGCCACGCAAGCCGCTTCGAGCTCCTCCCCGGAGGAGAAGAGGGACCAGCAGGGCTGGGAGCGCGCAGGGGTCACAGCTCCTGACTCCGGGTGGCTGGCCTGCTGGCGGGGCGGTCGGAGTCTGCTTGCAGTGCAGAATCCCGGAACAGAAGAGCTGGAGGGCGCGAGGAAGGCCATTGGCCCAGCCCCCTGCTCACCGCAGGACTCCCAGTTAGCTGCCCCAGCTCGGAAGCAGGGTCACGAAATCCCTCCGTTCTGAGACCGACCGGCAGGGCCCTGTGGCCGTTGGATGGCTTGGGGGTAGCAGTCCGCTTTCCCCGCAGCCCTCACCGCCCGGCGTCTGCTGAGGAGGAGCCCTCCCGCACGCAGCCCAGGCTCAGTCCTGCCCCCCATGGCCTCATGCTGGGCCTGCCTGACGCACCTTTGCCTGCTGTTTGCTGCCCGAAGGCCCGGCCTGGGGGCGTCCCTGCCAGATGCGCCCCCCGGCCAGCGGGACTGCTGCAGCACTGGCATGGGACTGGGGCCCCCCTTTAGTCTGGCTGAAACCGTCTTTGTCCCGGCAGATAATGTGACCCTCCAGATAGACGGCGTCCTCTATCTGCGCATCGTGGACCCCTACAAGGTAGCGCCTCCTCTGGCAGGGGAGGCCGGGGACAGGCTGTGGGGTCTCCTCGGGCCCGAGGCTTGGGGGAGCCCGCCTGTGCACAGGAAGAGAGTCCAGCCTCTCGCCCGTTAGGGCTAGAGTCACCTCTCGGTCGTTTCTGAAACCTGAGGGCGGACTTGGGGCTGGGGGGCCCGTCCGGCGTTGGGAGGTGCCAAGGTTCTTTGTCTTTGGGTTCCTGCAGCTGGCCATTGGGGTGCAGAGCCCGGGACAGGAGGCAGGCGGTGTTCTGGGGGCGGGGCCACTCCTTGTGCCTTCCCCCTGACCCCTCGCAGCCCCTCTGCCTCCCACCAGGCGAGCTACGGGGTGGAGGACCCCGAGTACGCGGTGACGCAGCTGGCACAGACCACCATGCGGTCGGAGCTGGGCAAGATGTCCCTCGACAACGTCTTCCGGGTGAGTGCCGAGGGCGGGTGTGGAGGAGCCTCTGGGCGGGGGCGGCCTGCTCCCCCGTGCTGCAGGCCCTGACCCCGCCTCTCCCCGCAGGAGCGGGAGTCCCTCAACTCCAGCATCGTGGACGCCATCAACCAGGCCTCCGACTACTGGGGCATCCAGTGCCTGCGCTACGAGATCAAGGACATCAGTGTGCCCCCCCGCGTGAAGGAGTCCATGCAGATGCAGGTGAGGGCGGCCCCGGGAGCAGGCGCGGCGACGGAGCGTCTGCGGCTCGGCCTGCCCCGGGCGTGCGCTGTCGAGGCCGGGGGGCTGCGTCCCCCACACCCCCGGCACGCACTGGAGGCGCGGCCCAGTTCGGCGCAGCGTGGATGTTCCCGAGGGCTGGCTCAGCCCCCCCTCCTAAGAGGCTGAGTCTGCTCTCGTTGGAGGGCTGCCATGGGAAGACACCTCTCTCTCCACGACATGGGGCGAGAGCTGCCCACGTCGCGGAGTCTTGGAGGCCAGCCCCACTGGTGGGCCGGTGCTGGGCTCCCCCAGGGCTGCTGGGCAAGGGGGCAGGGCACTCCCAAGCGTGCACTTTCGCTTCCAGGTGGAGGCCGAGAGGCGCAAGCGCGCAACCGTCCTGGATTCCGAAGGCAATCGGGAGTCTGCCATCAACATGGCTGAAGGAAGGAAGCAGGCTCAGATCCTGGCCTCCGAGGCCGAGAAGGCGGAGCAGATCAACCAGGCTGCAGGTATCCGAGACACTGCTCCTCTTCGGTGCCCCCTCCCCCGCGTGGGGTCCCGGGTGGCCTGCCTGAAGCCCTGGTCAGACCCAGCCAGCTGAGCCCCGGAAGGGGGCTGCCCGGGGGCCTCCCACCCACAGCCTGGCGCAAGAGGGCCACAGTGCGAGAGCGGGGACGCCGCCCGCAGGGGTCACGCTCCTCCTGGGTGCCCCCCCAACCCCGCTCTGAGCCAGAGCCTGGTGAGGCAGGTGGAATGGAGCGGGGAAGCAGGGGGGGGCCAGGTGTTGAGGTGCACACCTGGGTGGAGAGGGGGCTCCGCAGGAGAGACAGGGCGCCCGCCTGGCGGAGGCTGCCTCGGCCCTCCTGGAATGACGGGCAGCGAGGTCTCTGCACCGGCCCCCAGGAATGGAGAGCGGGGCCTCTTGGGTGTCCGTTTGCAGGGGGAGCCCAGTCCTGGGCCGCACTGGGTGGAGCGGCTCCCCCAGGTCCAGCAGAGACCTGCAGCAGCCTCTCCTTGGTCCCTTTTGCTTTGAGGAGAGGACTCGGGTGGGGGGGCAGTTCTTGAAAGCCCCGCCTCTCGCGTGGGGGAACAGAGAGCGGCCCCTGGGCAGGAGGCTTCTTGGCTGCTGGGTGCAGAGGCCCTCTGGGTGCCCGGGAAGCCGCCTGAGGCCCCTTTGCTTCCTTCCAGGGGAGGCCAGGGCCATCCTGGTGAAGGCCCAGGCGAAAGCGGAAGCCATCCGACTCGTGGCAGCTGCTCTGGCAGAACAGGTGAGCCCCCCCCCCCCCGCACAGAAAGGTGCTGCCCAAATCCACAGGAGAGGAGGGTTCTCCGCAAGGCAGCTGCTGGCGGCAGGGCCCAGGGGGAGGCAGGCGAGGGTGGGCAGCCTTCCACTTGGCCGCTGGAATCCCCGGCCTGCTGTCACCACACTTCAGGTGAGCACCCTTGGGTCCCAGGGGGGCCTTCTCTGCGGCCCTCCGCTTCTCCCGCGCAGGGTGCCAGAAACCTCCGCACACACCAGCTTCGCTGGAGTGGGCACAGCTGGAGGGACGCCCCCTGGCGGGCAGCTGGCGGGCAGACCCCTCCTCCACAAAGGCAGAGCTCCCCAGGTGCCACCTTAGGGCCCCATGACCGGCGCAGCATCCCACTGTCCCCAGAAGAGTCCTTGTGCTGCTCCTGCTTCCCAGGCAGCAGGCTCACACGCTGAGTTGCGGCAGGGGCCCTCCCAGCCCTCCCTGTCCCTCTGAATTAGCCCTCCCTGCTGGGAGACCCAGTCTGGAAAAGGCTTCCCTCCGTCCGGCTCCGTCGCGTCCGCCTGACTCGTCTTCCCGCCTCCCCAGAACGGCAGCTCAGCCGCGTCGCTGGCCGTGGCCGAGCAGTACGTGAGCGCCTTCTCCAAGCTGGCGAAGGAGTCCACCACCGTCCTCCTGCCGTCCAGCACGGGAGACGTCACCAGCATGGTCGCTCAGGTCGGTTGGGCAGGGCGAGGGTGCCGTGTGGGCGCTGGGGGGTCGTGGGGGCCACAGGCCTCTGGCCGCAGAAGGGGCTGGCTGGGGTTCGGCTCCCCCGCCCTTTCTGACAAGCGGAAGCAGCTGCCCGTGAGGCGAGTCCTTTGGGCGGAGCATCGTCTCCCAGGTGGGAGCCTTCGGGCCAGAAATGACCCGTCCGAGGCCGTCCACAGGGAAGCGTCTGCGGCGGTCGGCCAGGAGTGCGTGGACTCGCACGCCCAGCTTCGCCGCAGGCAGGGCTGATGTGGCGGCCCCTTTTGCGTAGCGCGGAGCAGAGCCGCAGAGGGCGCGGGGTGGTCGGGCCGGCGCGGGGCAGACCTCTCCCACCGCCCCGGTCCTGGCACGGCTCTGACTGGACCTGCCTTCCTTTCTCCAGGCGATGGGGATCTACGGCAGCCTGAGCAGGCATCAGCCAGCCGGGGCTGCGGATGCGGACGCCGCCCCCTCCCTCCAGGCACAGCAGCCCTCGGGCACAGAGCACCCCGAGCTGGAGCGGCCGGATGGCAGCTAGCGGAGAGGCCTGTGGGCACAGCCCAGCCCCACCCACCCTGCCCACTGTGGGCAGCCTCTGTCCCTCTTCTCCCCCGCCCTCGAACCTTGGTTTGTTTTCTAATTGGAATGGAATCATGTAATAAAAGGAGACAGCTGGATGGTTCTGCGCTTGTCCCCGAGCAGCTGGGAAACGGGGAGTCCACAGTGGGACTGGAGTGGGGAAGGCATTTGGGGCAGTGCCCTCTGCAAGGACGAGGGGGTTGGGGGGGGCGCTCTGCTCCCAGAGGGGCCTCGGTTTTGGTTTGTCCAGGGAGGAACGGCAGCCTTGATCCTGCCCTCTGCTGCAGCTCTAATGCCCTTGCTTCCGCGGCGTCTCGCTGCCCCGCGAGCAGCTGCTGGCCGCCAAGAGCCCTCTGCGCTTTGGTGTGAGCTGGCTGGGAAGGGGCTGGGGGTCCCGTTCTGCCCGTGTGCCACTCTCGCCTTGGCCGTCCGGGGGTCCAGACAGTCCATGCAGGGGAGGTGGGGCCAGCCGGCCGTTCCCTCCAGGGAAGGAGCCAGATGCCCCCAGCTGGCTTGTCCCAGAACCTGCAGAGAACCAGACCACTGTCCCCTTGCGTGGCGGGTCGTGGCCCAGGGTGGAGCAGAGCCCCCTTCGGGCTCCGAGCGGCTCGCGTGCCACGCTCACGCAGGGGCCCAAGCGGCCCTCGGGCAGCCATGGCAAGCTGCTGGGCCAGAGGGGTGCGCGGCCCGCTCCCCCCTGCCAGGGCCGCCTCTGGCTCCCCGGCAGCGCCTGTCCCCCCCCACCCCCCCCCGTTGGCTTCTCCGGCCACCAAGGCTGCGTCTGCAGCGCCCGCCTGGGTGAGCAGTTCTCGCGGGCGCCTGCATTTGTGTGCGGCGTGGTGCCGAAAGGCCGCTGAGCCGCAGCGCGACGACCTGCTGAGGGGCCGTGCAGACGGCAGGGCTGGGGATGCTGGGCGCCGCAGTCCAGTGCGGGAGGGAGAAGCCCAGCCGGGGAGGGCGGCACGCGCACTCGGAGGCCGCAGCCGTGCCGGGGGAGCCCCAGCGCCGTCCAGCCCAGCGCGCCGGCGG